TAATTCAATTTAGTGTCATTTTTATAGCACCAAATTGCAACGGCAGCCTTTACTGTAAAGTAAAGGCCTTGCAATAATACAGAGAAAACCCCAATAATCAAATGCCTCCCTATCAGCGAACACTTGGCACTTGAAAAAGTCCTTTTAACAGGATGAAACCACCAGCAGAACTAGGCTCACTGAGGGGTTGGCCATCTGTTGTGACCTGTTGGAGGTGAGGGGAGGAAGACAGGACAAAAGATGCTGTGGAGCAGAGCCAGACATTAAAAACAAGAAAATATTAAATACAGACTTGTATATAAACGCATAGTGAGTGACAAAAGTAAGTGAAGAAGAAACACTCAGTGCATCATTGGAAGACCCCAGCAGCCTAGACCTGCAGCAGAAAAACTCAAGGGACGATTCAGGGACACCTGATCCAGCCAGACTATAAGCTTTATCAAAAAGGAAAATTTCAAGCCTAATCTTAAAAGTAGAGAGGGTGTCTGCCTCCCAGATCCAAACAGGAAGCTGGTTCCACAGAGTATTTAGTTTTAAATACTCTACAAACCAAAGGTAAGCCAGCGGTCTGAGAGTGATGTGCTCAGTCTGGGTGACATGCTACTATGAGTTCTTTAAGATAAGACTGAGCGTGGTTTTTCAAGACCTTATATCTGAGGAGAAAGATTTTAAATTCGATTCTGGGTTTAACAGTGAGACAGTGAAGAATGCCAAAATGGGGGAAATATGATCTCTCTTTCTAGTTCCTGTCAGTACTCTCACTGCAGCATTTTGGATTGAATGAAGGCTTTTTGGGGAGCTTTTAGGACAACCCGATAATAATGAATTACAAAATTCAAGTGCATAATCCTTCCTACGGTGGCTGCTGTAGGACAAACAACTCATTCATCTGTAGTGAGTGTATGCTCTCAGAATGTAATCAAACTGTTTATTGGAAGGAAAGTGTGATTTTTAGGACACTTGAGCCTAATATTAGCTGGCACAGTGTTAGCTTATAACCAGCTGTTGTTGTTTAGCTGGCTCATTGTCAGCTGCAGAGACGGGAGGGTTGGATGTCTAATTTTCTGACAGTTGCAACAGTATCAGATATAAATACACATGTTTATGCAAGTTTTCATGTGTTAAGGTCTTGACTTCAGTTCAGGAGGAAGAGGATAAGGTGGAAATGAGGAAGCAGTCATGGAGAAGGAGAATGACAATAAGAAAGAAATGCTGAAAAACACAGAAATGTCAGATATTCACATATTGTTTGAAAGAGCTATTTGTGATTATTAAATTAAAAGTTACTTATAAGGCATAGTACATATGCTGCTGGTTTCTTGGCAATTAGGAAGAAACGCAATTAGGTGGAATGACGATGCTCATTTTGGCTGCTGTATTCAAAATAACGGGAAACATGGCAGCTTGCACAAACCTGCTCCTATGCATTTGTAAAGGATAAACCCAACACACTGAACTCCTATATGATGACTTGGTAGGACAGAGCATAGCCTGTTTTCCTGTTTTGTTGTGTTTTTTTAATACCAATTGGCCTTTACAAAAGGAATACTGCGTTATATTAAATAAAACTTTAAACTAATGATTGAGACAGTAAAGTGCTTGAATAACTATTTACTGAGGCTTTAAATGAAGTGAGAGGTTAGACAGACTTCTGTTCAGTCTCTGTAATATATATATTATTATTTTTCTGTGAATTCAAGGTTTTCAATGGAAACCCCCCCCAAAATGAGATGCACTGAGCCAAAACAGTAAAGTTCTGGCCCCCCAAATCAAATCATGCATTCATAGAAATAATTAAAATAAATGCTGTGACATTTTTGACAGCCAGTCACCCAGACTTAAACTACTTTCCAGGAACCAGTGTGGCACATAACCCCTGTAGTTTTTTAGTTTTTACACGTTCAACATTCAACATTAGTCAGCGAGCTTTGAAGCTAATTGCAGGTAGATTTCTGAAGACACGACCATGCTTGCTGTATATCCATTTTTTCCCATTCTTTGCAATCAGCAAGCCAGTAGAGCATGCACATATGAGAGTGGGATCAATAACGCTTCATTAGAAAGCAAATATGTCTATTGCCTAAGAGTACAAGTGTAAAACTACTATAAAAAAAATGAATATAGGAAGCATAAGGTTTTGTCTTCTTTGTTCTATTTCCAGTTACTGAATTCTTGATTTGTGTTATTGTGAGGCACAAACATTGCTTTCAGGAGAGTTTAGGCAGCAAATAAAGGACAAATGAGGCTAGTGACCTGTTCAGGACTGAAGGTCACTCTTTGGGCATCAGTCTTGAAAACAGAGTGACAGCCCCAGAGAGGCTGATAAGTAAATACAGTTTTAATGGTCTCTGAATGGCTGGTGGTAATCTGTGCAGGCCACGAGTGGGCAAGGCACAGAGGGCGACGGGGCATTCTGCAGCAGTTATTATAAATGCTATCATAGATCAGATAGGCCAGAGAATGAGAATGAAAGGTGGTGATGAATTTGGGCCTTCTGTCGACCAAATGACTAGAGGACAAGCTGCTGAGGCAGGTTAAGGTCATGAATGAAGGATACCACCCAAAAAGAAGACACAACGGACAATTCATTATGTATAATGCAGAGGACAGAATAGCCCATATCTCAGGGGACCGGCTGCAGGTCGCAGGGTGACAATGTCAAAAAAGGAAAAGAAGAAAAGGATACAGTCTGCTTCAACTTCTCTGTTTGGTACAGTCTGGAAAAGTTTTAAGCACTGAAAGCAAAATGAGTCTACTATAATTAGTTTTATGTGTCAATTAAGTTAAAAGGAAGTGCTGCGGATAGAAAAAAACTGAAGGCAACCATTTGCCTTTAAAGCAGTTCTAGGTAAAGGTTTATGGTACTTGGCAGGAAGGTTTTTCTGCAGTTCTTCTGTGGATTTTGAGCTGTTTAATTTGCTTCTTTTTTTTGGGTGATTCCAGACTGACTTCATGACGTCATGGAGGTCATGCAATCTGTAATAGGCTTTTCCTTCTGCTTCTTGCCTCACAACGATGATTGTTTATGAATCTGGTGGTATTTTTGGGCCGTCATGCTGCAGAATGAATCTTATAGTGAGACTTGAATTGTATTGCGTGATGGATTAGAATATAAAATGTTTGCACAGTGCTGTATATTATATAGCCGCAAGTACTTTTCCCCTTCTTCTTGGCAGAAAAGCCGTGCCATTACAGGAAACAAAACTGCTTAACATTCCAAAGTCAAATGCGTTGACAGGTAACTGAAAGTGGAAATATAGTTTGTTGTATCTAAACGTGTCTGGCATTTCAGTCTTGGGTCTATTTCCAAGGCATGAAAGCTTACAGATCTTTTTCAAGACATCAAAGGGTTGAGACCTTTTTGCAGACATCAAAGTCTTAAGACCTGTCCTCAGAGAGGTCTAAACGGCACATCTGTCAAGACAAAATCGCTCGTATTTTTCCCTCTTAGACATCTCTTTAAACAATGCCTGCAATAGCGCTGCCTCTTTTGAAAACTCCGGTTTTCCAAATCAAATGTGCCTTATCGACCTTTGGAAAGAGATGGATAGTATGTGAGCTTTCACAGCAGTCAATGTTTTGGTCATTTTAGCTCAGGAAATGGACTTACCATGTGCAGAACCGACAGGGGCTCTGCTTATTTAATGACTTGCACAGCTATATACGATGTAACCGAAGCCACTCGGGGTCTGTCTGGTGCACCCTGTGATTTCCAGCCGTCGAACAGACCTCAGTATATCGTGGTCTTCAAGGGATTTAAGTGAGTGTCAGGCCCTAGAAGGGGGTTACTTTTGGACAGCTACCAGCATTTGTGTGAGTGCTTTTCCAGCCCACCATTACAGCTACAGCTAGGGAAGTGACTGTTCTACATCAACACTTTTGTTCCCTGTACCTCTAATGCTTTTTGCAGCTGTACCAGAGTGAATTTTTTTCCAGCATCAAATTGCACGCATTAAGAAGGAAGTAAAGTTCCTTAAGCAAAAATGGAATTTGAAGTGAACCAGAACGGGCAACTTAACACAAAAGCTTTAACAATGATTTAGTGCTGAAAGATGTTTCAAACTCTCTGGTACCTGCACAGAACACTCACAGCACCAAACCAGAATAACCAGGACTACAATAGCTATATGCTGTGTATGAATGAAAGTATTGTAGTTTTCTTTGAGAATGATTTCTTGTGCATTTAGACCTTGCACTGTAGACCTCAACTTAGTAGTTAACCTGAAATAAGTGGAGCTGAGATACAATGTCATAAACTTTAAAATAAACTGCACCCGAGTAATGTTAGAGTTGACTGAATAATAAGTGTTGCTTCTCTTTGTTTCTTAAAAAAATGCCACAACTACACTTTTCCCACACTCAAAATGAAAATCAGTGATATAGGTATTACTTTACAACGATCACAGCACTTACAGGCAGGGACAGTGATGAAACGCATCTTGTGGAAACGAATGACTGCACTGTTGGTGAGTCATCTCATACATCTCTATTTAGTCTTCATGGATTTTTCTTTATCTTTCCTTCACAACACCGTCTAATCTGCTTAGAGAGGGAGGGGAAAAAACTGCTGTGGGGTTCATGGTTTAATCAATTACCAGATTACAGTAATAATCCATATTTTAGTTCATTTTCTGGGTTGCAATTATAATGAATTCACTGGCAGCCGCAATTATGTTCCCATCAATGGAAGTGGAACAAAAGCAATGTCAAATAACACCAGCACTGTATACTGCTAAGTCAAATTGCATTGGAACTGATATGTCAACACGTGCTTGTTTGCTGGACTGCTTGCAGGGAAATATATATATATATATATAAATTTCTAATCTTTATTATATTAGATGGCTCTGCAGAAAAAGGCCATTTGTGGTGGAGCGGAATATATGTTCCTCTTGGCCCTGAATGGGAATAAGTATGGAAAATTGAATGAATAAATGAATGGAGATGGCTCAGTGGAAATTGTGTGAAAATACAACAAAGGAACAAGAAACTCGGTGAGCACTGCAGCCATATCTGAGCCTACTGCGGTGATTGAGTGCATCTCTCTCGGGATGCAGACACCATACCGCGAATGATGTCATCAGACTGGTGCTTTTTACTTTTCTTTACCCACTGTCATTTCTTTTTTTCGTAATTGTATTTTAATATTAATTACCCGAAGCGTTAAAGGTTTGCGTTATCAAACACGAGCGGCGCAAGTTTTTCAGTTCACTCGTCGTGCCGCACAGGGTCGCTGGTGCCTGACAAGTGGCGCAATCATCCAATAAATTCGAAATGTCCGATGACAACTTTTAAAATCATTGTTTTTGCACGCAAAGGGCAGCGACGTCACCAGACGTGTTGGTTATTTAACACACGTGCAACTGTCTGATTTTGATTTAAAACTGACAGGGTGAACATGTTAGTTTTTTTCGGTGTTGTTGTTGTTTTAGGAAGATGCTTTAATGCAAACTCAGCTGGTCAAAAGTGATGAATTAAAATATGTTTACTCCCGGCATCAATGATATGATGTTCCTGGAGCGCCAAACGCCCCCGCTCTGTGTCTGTTATGTCTTTCCTTCTGGTCCCCTCGACGCGCATTGGACGGGGTGACAATGCGTAAGCTCCACAAACTGCAGTCTGTCTGCATAAACATAGAAGAACGATGACTTGAATCCGGACTTTCGCTGAATATATGAATCACCTGGTACCAAAGTATCATTAGAAGTGGAAGCTGAACGCTGAATACGGACCTCTTGCGCTCTCCTCTGGCTCATGTTGCGTGCAGCTGGAGTTGCGCTCAGGACTTCACGAAAAGCTGTCTGGGTGTGGATGTACGCTGATCTATGCCGGGACTTGAACTTTTCTACTTTTAGATAATTTGCCTTAACACGAGGATGGACGGAAAGTATCGGACTTTACGCACTACAGCCAGCTTCAGGAGCCCGGTGATGCAGAAAGAAGGGAGCTGGAAAAACTGACCGTCTGAGGACAGAGGATTTCTGCGCTTCTTGGGATAAAAAAAAAAAACCCCGCTATAAAACAAACACAAAATCGTTGTGAAAATGTGTCATAACTGGTCTTTCGCCAGTAATCTAAGCGTTACCTCTTCTAAAAAGAAAAATGCTGGAGAGACCGAAGCAAAGCTGAAGTTCTTTCTCTTCAGTTCTTGAATTTTCCTGACAAAAACAAGTAGATCAGACTTTCAAAACTGCTCACTCGAACTATGATTGTTCAGCATTTGGAAACTAACGATTGCAGCATGAAAAGACGTGTTTTCATTCTTCATTTTTAGAAACCACACTGCACGTAGGATGCTCTTCTTTGAACTAACACGCATCGGCTTGCGCACTAATTTTTGGGGGAATTCGTGTTTTTTAACGGCTCAGAGAAACATGTTGCACATCCTTGCGCTTCAGTCGGTGGTGTTACTTTTGGGAGGTAAGCATTTTAAACCTTTTAGCCTATGTGTCTTTACGCCCACTGTGCCGACTGAGGAGCCAGGCTTTTGTTAAACAAAGATTTCAAGTAAGTTTAATACGAACTGGAGCCAAGTAGCGTGATTTTTGTCACACAGGGGACCGCGTGAGATACACGGTGATGCAGGGTAGCGAACATCCTGCTTGTCTCATCTGCGTGTACGCTTACATTCCCCAACAAGAATTCAGTTCAGATGTGTTCAGTCATATATTATGGATTCCGAAGACCTCGCTGCAGTGGCTCTGCACCTGTACGATGAACCCAGAGCAGCTCTGGCTTTAAATAACACTTATCTCATCAATATTTCAACATGACAAGGATTATCTTGTGCAACAGAAGCACTGGGGTTGTATCGACTCTTGACTTAAGTTATTACATAAAATTCATCTCCAAGCCCATATTTATTTCATGGGAAAACTTAGTTGAGTTGCATTGATGAGAGCTCTTCATATAGCTTCACAACATCAGTCCCAATCTCTTTGAGGTGTCACTTAATATGTTTTTAGTAGGAATTTCTGCGTTTTATATGGATTCTTGGTGGGGGGAGAAAAAGATGATAATGTCATTTTCCACATTGCATCAGTCAATTAGTGCCACTGGGAGGAGAACAGCAACATCCTTTTTGACTGCCTGGCGGCCAGGATATATAGATCTGAAGGCAGCTGGTGGTCTGACTAATGAATCCCTTCTGTCTTGTGGGAAAAGGGTTTAAACTAAAATGCAATCTGGAAATTTTAACCGGTCCTCCAATGAGACTTTTTCTCCAGATGATGCCTGGCTCTAGCAGCTTTCCAGCATACCCAAAAGAAGAGTTTTTCACGGCATGTCTTTAATTAAAAGCAAAACTTTTTTTTCCTCCCTTTTTTTCTTGTGCAAATGAAAGAAACAACAACACATTTTTCAGTGAATGAATATGCAATCCTTGTTCACTGCAGTGAGACCTAGAATCACAATCTTATTGTAATTACATAGAATCTGCAGCCGGCAGTGTATCTGTTATGGTCTAAGAAACACTTGCGCTGGTTCCCTGCAGAATTAAAGGTCATAGTTTCCAGAAACAATCTTTCCAAAATTGCATCTTAGAGGTCCATTGTGCATGTGCGCCTCGGTGATACATCTTGGAGCTCATGAGGATTATTCTTATGTAACAGCACCTCTCTTTCCAGTGCTGGCTCACTGGCTTGAAGTATACTGTAATAATATTTGCCATGTGCTAAGGCCTTACACAGTGTGATCCTAATTGAGGATTGTGTGTCATAAACCTGCAGGACACAGCTTCTTACTGTGAATAGTGATGAAAATTGATAACACACTCCAGGAAATGAGAGGATCAGATCCGTGCTAGAAAAATGTCTGCGCAGCATAATAAGCCACGATTAGGGATGGAAACCTGGTGTTCTAGTGTGACTGTGATAAAAACCCTTTGTTTCAACAACTGCAAATTATATCAGGGTGTTGAGTTTCCTGGCCCTAGAATATTCAAAGCAAATCTGCAGAATAAAATGTTATTATGATAAAAGGATGGAGACTTAAAATTTTTTGTATGTTTTGTTAATAAAAAACATACAAAACAAGTGTCCCGTCCTTTAATTGAAGCCACCAGGTGCGTTCCAGTGGGACACCTCAGTGGGATTCCTGAGAAGAATTTTCAATCTTCCCTCCTTTAGTTTTATCCTTGAGCTTAACAAGATCCAAAGGAGATCAAGCAAGGATAGCCTTTGGTCTACATCTTTAAGCACTAAGCACACAGCCCATGCTGTCTCTTGTTGCTGCCATGTGTCTGTCCTCATGCCTCGGCATCTCCATCAAGACGATTGGAGTCGTTCTGTAGAAATTTTATTTCAGAACATTTACTTACCCAGCCGAGATTCTTAAACCCTCTCTCAGTGGAGAGGTTTTATCTGTGATTGTCTTCAGAAACATCCACTGCTGTGGTTCCTCGCCCCAGTGCTGTGGCACACATCCAGCTCTACTTCTTTTGCCCCTGGCAGTCCTGTAAACCCTGCAATTCATGTCCTCGATCAAGAAAAAAAAATGAGCCAGAGAGGTGAAATACAGTCTTTATGGAGAACAATTTTTAGCATTCGCAGCTTGATTGATGGACTGATTATGTTTGTCTTTAAGCTGTGCCGCTAAATTGTGAGTGGCATGTGTTTGTCTGGATCCTTTCATGTGTCTGTGTCTCATTTCGTTAGGCTCAAACACTGTCTGATTGAAATTCAGCTGGAGTTTTGACGTGGAATTGAACACATTGTCCACTCAAGCAAAAGGATTGATTTCATCAACAGTCGGGTGGATATTTTCATGTCAGCTTCGATTCCACTGCACTGAAAAAATTTTTGTTTTAGATCTTTGACAGCTTTTTAATTATATTTGTAACCAAAGCATATTGAAGTAAATGAGTATGTCTTAAGTGGCCATGCGCTGGATAAACCCCCTAATGTCATTTCTTTTTCTTTTTTTGCTGCCATTCATCAGTTGTGGTGTTGATTTAGAGATCAGAAAGAAATGAAAGGAACAGTAGTGGCTTTTTTAATTTCTAATTTTTTGTATTTATTCTTTATCAAGGCTATCTGTGCATCGCTCTTGCTGTGGTGCACAAAGTCGCTTGAATTTTACAACAGAGGACACTGATAAAAAGAGCCGTCACC